TCCAAAGCATAGCGAACATGCCTAAAGTATAGGTCTAAGTAGAAATAATTGTTACAGACAAACGTAATACGCTAAACCGCCATAATTAGGTACCCACTCAAATTATACGCTTAACAGGGCTGGTAATTAATGAAACTAGAGTATTGGTTATTACCATAATTGAAACGAAGTGTGTCTACTGGTTATAACAATTCAAATTCTTGTTTCATTCAACGAAATCATCAATAGCCACAACAGTCCACTGCTGAACATGAGCTTTCTAATATAAGCGATATTTACCTACTATACTTATTACGCTTGGCAGGCGAATTGGTGAGCACAGCGCAAGATGTTGCATTCACATAGAATACTTCTGCCTTTTCTTTGTATTTATCACTTAAAAGCTTTTTATGGCACTTAGAAAATGGAGAAGGTGACGCTATTCTGAGCCGAGGCTGTCTGGTCCCGGAAAAAAATATAAAGTAGGTATAAATTACAAATTACAAAAGAAAACTTTTTTTTTATACTATGATTATGTGACCTTCAAATACGATACAAGCAATCCCTAAAATAACCTAGTTCTCAGAATTCAATTCAACGTCATTTGTCTAATTAGCAAATTTATGACGTCCACACGGAAATAGTGACGTCAGGCTTGAAAAGGGACTCAGTAATTGCGGCTATTTACTCGGCTATTCACTGCTAAAGGTGTACTAAGACGTCATTCAAAATACAAGGTGTAAAACATTACGTAGCGTAATGCGTTGGACATACTTTGGTCAGATTGACCGATGAATAAAGCTTAAGATAGCGGATGGAAATATTGGGGATTCGGAGATCTTGCATTATGTACATTGGAGGAGGTCTTCGTTTAGCATTTGGCTGATTGTAAAGCAAAACGAAGTAGTTTAGCCGTTATGTGCGGGTATAATAAAAAAACCATATGACAAAACTAGTTTCGTGCCATCGTTCTTTTGAATATTTTCAGATTTTTACATCCTTCATTTACTATAGGTAGACCTTGAAGCTTGGTTAAAAGAAGTTTGGCATTGAATACGACATACGTCGTGTATATTTCTGTGTTTCCTTTACCGACAGGTACATATTTAATGGAATGTAATACGTAGCTACTTTACAAATCGAACCTTGATATCTATTATTAATTTGGATTATTATATGACATATAGGTAGAATTAATATAAAATTTGAATTTAAGTTTCATAAATTAAATAATGATATGTTACATTTCTAATTTACTTTCCAAATATTGATTTATTTTTAAGTGTATTATACGACCTACCAACTATTATAAGCAGCCCACACCTATCTCATGCAAAACATAAGCCTAAATGTATGGGTGGGCCGTTAGTTATTTATAAATTATCAAATATCTAAGTCAAATATCTACAAAATTTTAAACTGACAATTCGAATATGCTATTAATTCTGATATCACCTGATCTAATTTATTACCATTCGAGGTGTACGATCGTCGTCTTGGGAATCAAAAGGTTTCGGATTTTTCAGGGCACGTATATAAATGTCACTGACTTGATTAATCGACTTGGGGTAGGTTAAGGGTTGGCATTTTTTCGCAAATTGCTGTTTGGCTGAAGTTTCAAGGTCGCTATGTTAAGGTTTTCGTATAAAAACGGGGTAGGAATACGTGGTTAATGGATAAAACGACACGCTTGGCGTCGAAAGTAGAATATTGGATGTTAATGGTTCGTTCCATGATGTAAGGGTATTTTTTCAACTTCGTCAGAACTTGGATTGTACATCAAATATTTACAAGAATAATTAGTCAGTAGCAAAAATATTTTGACGAAGATGCTTTTCATAGGAGGATGTGATGTGGTCTTAAAATTAAAACATTACGTGACAATGAAGGTAAAATTAATTGTCTTTGAATTTTTCATTCATTTTCTCTGTGCCCCATGAGATCAATACCAAAATTACGTGTCTTATGTGTGCCTTCTCTATCTTCTCAAAACAAATAAATAAAAAAGTAATATAATTTTAGTTTTAATTGTGATGAAATTAATAGTAAAGTTGTACCTATGAATTCCTCTATAAATCGAGAGGTTGATGTCTTGCTCTCAAATAAAACCCAATTTCACCTCTATAATTGGAATCTTAGAAAGGACAGGAGTAATCAAATAAGGCTTACCCTATCCAAGGGACAGAAACGTTATAGCTGACTATGTTTGGACGGATTTTCCAAAGACTTTTCATTCATGGACTGGGTTTCAAATTACCGTTAATTCTTATGCACTGGTCACTTAAAGAGAGCGGCTGGTAGTGACGGGATGGCGAATACGAAAGATCGCGCTATGTCGTGTAGTAAATCGTTGTTGGTTGACTGATGTGATGACATAATAATATAATAAATGAATCATGTACCTACGTCAAATGAATAGTACATCAAATAACTCAAAATGCTCAAGTCTCTTATTTTTGTATGTTCTGTCCGCGTGCAATCTAATGGCAGCCACATGTCATTTATTGTCTTCGCTTTCGAATGTCATCAGATAGCACGCGTATTATATTTTATAAGTGTAATCATATTTTATTGCAATCAATTTTTTTAATACGCCACTGTATAGAAAATAGAAACACCTACGGAAGGTTCATTCGTGTAAATGTTGAACGCATGAATACTAATGTATTTTTTCCCACGCAAGCTGTCAACTTGTGACATTCAATTTGAATGATCCATGGCTGAAATTTTCGTAGATGTGTTCCCACCCACAAGTATCAAAAACAGAAACCTACTCTTCAATATGATAGATCTTTACCAGTTGCTGACGTAAGTGGTGATTGTGATGTGAAACGGCAGGTCCTAAATCTACCTTTTACAGGGATCATAATCGTTTCGTTATTCGTAGACAATGTATAGAAAACCAGTAAATTTTGATCTCCTGTTGGTACTATATTGACGGACGCATTTGTTATAGTAGGATAGCAACAAATTGGGTAAATGTATTGTTTGAGGTGTGTATTGAGAAATAAGATGCAAAATAATAAAATGTTTTCTCTGTGATGGATCAAAGAATGTGGGATGATCAATATAACGCAATGGGTAATAATTAATATTAGTGTAATTTTACAAGTACAATAATTTATTGGGATCCTATGAACTATTGCGAGGTCAGGGCTTGTAATACAAACTGTTACAATTTTGTAGCTTTGTAGTTTTGTGTAATCTAACTTAACTTGTCAACTGGGGCATCAGCTGAATCAGCGGACAGCCGCCATCTTGGTTAGGTAGGCTATACTTACTGGGGATCGACTAAATCAGTCGATGCAACGTCGATGACGTTGCAAAAGGTGGTGTCGAATTACATGCTAGTGTTTTGGGATTATTTCTCGACGTAAAACTCCACTTCTACTCCTAATCAAATCGGCGCTTATGCGTCCGTAGCTGTATTCGGAAGTGGCCAGATGCGAAGGATATATTATGGAGCGCAGACGTTCGCGAAAACGCAAGCGCACACACTTAACCCTTTCCTTCCCCTATTCAGTGGAATGGAGAACCATTACGACTAAAGGAGAGGTCGGATGCAATGTCTGGACGGCAGTAATTACACGCACCCTCTACCGTTGCCCTAGGCCATCCACCTTGCCTTGCTCTTGCATAATCGTCGACCAGAAGGTACTTAAGCAAAGACAGAGAAGCCGTGGTCGCGTACCCGTAGGTAAACCACATCTCAGCTTTCCATCCATGAACTGACTTTACTTTGCCTGAATAATTCTATTATCTATCTAGTAGCATATCTATTGTTTATCATATAAATAGGTAAAATATTTCGTGCTATAGTTATAAACACAAGGCAAGTAAAAAATTAAAGTTTATAACTACCCTAAACTAGGTTGACGGGCAATTCAATTAATTTTATTTACCGTATGTCTGGTTGGCTAACAGTATTATAATAACGGGTATGTTGGCATGTTTTTGTGACAAAGACTAATCTACTACGTGGCTACGAAACATACGCTGGGTTATTCCCACTGAGTACTCTACATTAGGTGCTTCTTGGTATGCTTGACTTCTTTGGTGGGATAACAGTTTCATAGCCTAACCCCGTACGTATTAAAATTGTAAAAAGGAATAAATAGAAGTTCATATCGATACTTTACATAAAAGTGTCATTTCACATGACGTATTCAGCCGTTTTACTTATTGGATCATGATCATGGAACAACTTCGGAATTTTAAATGTGTCTACCATACCATCCATAATCCCAAATTCCGAAACTGAATATCAAAAACCACAATTGAACTGGTTCCACAAACGTCATATTTCTGGCATTCAAATTGACTAATCATATTACGTACCTATTGTATCAGATTAAGAGTAACCCTAGCTATGTAACAGGTGACGTCCGCGAAAATCCTAAAAAGGGTGGAGTGATCCTTTTGTAAACTCTACATTTTGTAGTTGTGTTGAAAGCATAATTCGCTGTTTGAAATGGTATTAGGACGACCAGGAAGAATCTTACATCCGCTTTTATTTTCCTAGCATCAAATAACACGTCCTGAACAAGAATTCCGCAGACCCGACAGACCCAAAAGGTCCGGTTTTTGCGTCTGGTCCCTGATTAATTCCAACTTAATTTAGACCCATGGGCTGGGTGTGTATTATCTCTTTTGTTTAACATTTAAGTAGGTTGAAACTTACTGACAGTATGGTTTTTAATCTCAGCCAAAAGCCGAGTGCGTTTTTGTGTTAAAAGTTTGGGAGGATTTCAATTAGGTAGATATATACAGACTTACCATCTATGTAGGTACCTACCTACACCCAGAATTGTAGTAGCTAGAAGTTCAACGCCTTCAAGTTTTCACATCCAGCTATAAAGCTTAAAATCAATTGATTTTGCCAGTAAAATCCGCATTATACACTGGATTCTCTTAAATATCATAAGGTAACTTATGCTCTACCAGGGGAATTATTACCAATATACTTTTTTCTATTTAACTTTTTGGTTACAAAGCTAAACGAAGCAAGCAGAAAAAAATCACGCCACCGATGGGATTCGAACCCACGTCTTCTGACAAGCCAGGTCAGACGTGTTAGACAGGTTGACCGATACACCACGGAGGCTCTAACCCAGGCGGTGAAATTGTAAACCACTTGTTTTATTAAAAGACCGGTGTTCAAAATTACTATCTTGTGGAAAATTTCTACAAAATCGTAAACATTCACTTTTTTCTATACCATCGCTTACATGCCTCTTTGACTTCAGCCACGTTCGTTTGTCTAAGTCACCTCTTCTCTCTTCTCGCCTCAATAATACTGAGTAATAACGAGTGTTACATATTAAGTCTTCTTTCTTTCGTGAAGAAAAGAAAGTATTATCTAATAACGACGTTAGCTAAACCGAATGTAATGATTATACACCAAGGATATAAAAAAATAAACGGTTATTTAAATAATCGATGTTTTTTTGAAAAAGTATATTTTCTTTAATTAATTGATTAATTTAAAGAGTCGAATGAATCGAAAAATTAAAAACCGTGTATATTTTCAAAATTCCCAACATAATCGTTTTTTTTTTCTCTTTTTATTTCTTTTACCCAACTTCTTGATTATACATGCCTTCTTTCGGCTTAATTTTTTGTTTTGTGACACGTTGTATGAAGTTATTTTACTTATAGTAATTAGGTGTATAAAAAAATATTTGCATTGCGTGTCACTTGAGATTTAGTAAAATCATATGAAATGTCTTGCAAATAATCAAACAGTACATTACACTAACATTTTTTCAATAAAATTAAAGGTGCAAAACAAAGAACAGTTTTTTTTAAAACGATATTTTTTTAAATAAATACGATTTGTTTTTAATCGTTTTTTTTTGCAACTAGAAATAATCGATTATAAAAAAATCGTTTTTCTATTACTCAGGTCACATCCCTATTATACAGTTTGTACCCTTGCCCTGGGAATTAAACGGTACCTACGCCAAGACTATTAAACAACTAGCTGGTGCCCGCGAACTTCGTTTCGCCAAGAGAAGTTTTTGAGCCGACAGAAGCGGCACATCATGCTAAACAAATTTTTCAATACAGACATTTTCGTATCTCTTAAGGGCGCCACACACAGGGCGTGTATGCTTGACGTGCACGTCATCACGCGCGTAGAGATGACGTTGTATCGTATGGGATTGTATGAGAGGCCTGCCTATGTACGCGTGCACGTAATCACGCGAGTAGCACGGTGTGCGGTGCCTCATACAATCCCAGACGATACAACGTCATCTCTATGCGCGTGATAACGTGCACGTCACGCATACGGGCCCGGTGTGTGGCGCCCTTTAATATTTTGCCGAGTTCATGGTGTTCCGTCACGTAGGTAGACAGAGAGTACCTCCAGTGCTGATAAAGGTTCTCACTAATCATAAAATATGATCAGAACGTTTATCTTCCACCATACCAAACATCTAAAAACATCGCTTAATTTTTGAGTGATTCATGCACAATTTTTACACATAATGGTACGTTTCCATTTTCGATGTTTGTCTCATGGTTATTATTTTATGCGTGATTTGTACGATTAGGGCATGCAAAGATAATAGTGATGACGATGATGATGGAATAACCTGGAGAAACCCCAGACTACCGCCGATGTGAGTTTGTTACTTGACTTTGAAGGGGAAAGCCCACTTCGATCCCTCCTGTTTCAAAGTCTGAGCGCCTGAAGGTACATCTTGATGATATTGGTAGTTGGCTACAGTACCAACACCGGTGTTCTTTTATTATTTTTATGTGAAGGAGCAAATCCGAGTTGACCCATGTCGAAGGATGCTTGTTTCTTTCTATTTCTTCTACTTACTTATTTCACTTCTGTTCTTGTTTTCTTATTAAATAGTTGTGTTGGTAATAAGTATGTATACTTTTTATTTATTTAGGTACCTACCTACCAAAAGTGACAGGCCTGCAGGAGCGGCCCATCAAGCTGTACATATTTTTTTGTAGCTGTTTCTAAGACACGCTATCGAAATGTTCTTTTGAAAACTATTGCAGGGGTACTTGACACCGACCTGTAACAGTTTTAATACATGTACATACAGATTTCTGTACTATCGCCAGCAAATCCACCTACCCATTTAAGACACAAACTAACTGTATGCACCGCCGTCATAAGTTCGTCATTTTCAATCGACATCTTTTTTGATGTGAAGATAAGTAGATCATGGTTGCTTGACACAAATTTAGAATGTTGGGAAAAAAATGTTTTTATTTTTTGGCGTAGGTAAGTACATGTGAAAGGAGGATAAAAAAAACCATCTGCTATATTAATTAGGTAGGGTATCGTTGAATAGATCTTTAAAAATTAAGGCGAGGTTTTTTAAAAAAAATCACAAAGGTGATTCTGCCTTGAAGTATTTGCTTTTATGGGGAGTTTTCTCTTCCTAGAACTAAATATTTGAAAAAAAAAAAATAGTTCTTAGTCTGAAGTTACCATAAAAACTATATCGGATACTGAATCCACGCAAGTTTTAAGAAAAATAAATGTTTTTAATTTGTGGTTCGTAGGTAAGCATATTTACTACTGCAAACAAACCAGCAACGAAATTAGGTAACTTCATAACGCTGATATTTAACATTGACTACAAACCCTATTTGTGGGCGTGTCTGACACGCTCTTGGCTGGTTTTTTATTTTGTTTTACTATTATGTTGGTACGTGTTCGAATCTCGACTCCAATATGGGAGTAAAAAAAAACTGCAAATATTGTAAGGGGTGAACCAGTTCAAGAAACTTTTAGTAAATATCATAAGGGCGCAATACAACACTTCTACGGCGAGGGCGCTTTTTTGAATTCAGAGCGAAGTAAGGGATTCTAGAGTAGAATCCCCGAAGCCAAAATATATTTTGCGCCCGAGTAATTCACTCTACTTTTCATCACCCTCTATGAGAAAATAAAAGGCGCCTCATATTGTCACTTGAACTAATTTTTCAAAAAGTTAAATAAAATTCTAACATACGTGTAATTTTTGGTGAAAATTACGGACTGTAATTCGCGCGTATCTTTTTTTTAGTTCTATTGGGGACGCGCGACTATGGGCCGTCGTCCCATACAGCCTTTATTCGAACAATATTTGCGTTCTATTTCTTTGGCGCTGACTGAACATCAAGATGTTCTAAATTTAAAGTAGTTTTATTCGCATTTGTTGAGTTCTTTATTTAAAAATGCAATAAAAGAACTTTGTGGCGCGTTCTTTTCGAATAGATAGGATGAAAACAACTTTCCCCAAGAAACATAGGTAGTTCAAAATACGGGGTGTTAGGGACGGTGTAACGAAAACTTTGCAGGCATGCTCAGACCATCAAACTGAACAACTTTCACTATGGAGCCAATGGTGGAAAACGAAAAAAAAAATTCTGTCCATTCAAAATTTACGATCAGCTGACTGACTTTGTATGGGAGGTTGAAAATTTTTTTTCGTTTCCCACCATTGGCTCCATAGTAAAAGTTGTTCAGTTTGATGGTCTGATCATGCCAGCAAAGTTTTCGTCACACCGTCCCTAACACCCTGTATAAGGAGTAAAAAAATTTACTGCAAATATTTTAAGGAGTGAACCAGTCCATGAAACTGAACAACTTTCCCCAGGGAACATAGGTCGAAATATGAAAAAAGAATTTGGACCTCCTATACAAAATGTTCTGGCCGGCAGGTTCAGTTTGAATGGGAGGGCCAAATTTTTATTCGTATTTCGACCTATGTTTCTTAGGAAAAGTTGTTCAGTTTCATGGACTGGTTTAGTCGTAAAATACGTGCAGTTATTTTTTTACCTACTCTAGGAAAAAATAATTGACCTCCCATACAAAATGCTCCAGCCGTCTCGATAGCCGACCAAGTTTTTGTAGGGAAGGGAAGAAATTTTTCTTTAATTATTTGACCTATGTTCCTTGGGGAAAGTTGTTCAGTTTCATGGACTGGTTCACCCCTTGGAATAGTTTGCGTAGTTTTTTTTACATCTTATAGTAACTTATTCCTCTACCGCAAGTAACGCACGCAATATCGATTTACGTGTAAACTTATTTCAAGTATAGTGGCAACCCCCCCTTTTAGGGGTCGAATTTTTTTAGCCTATAACCTGGTCGGTAATTTTCCCGACATTTTGGTATAATTTGCATCAAAATCGGTTCAGTCGTTTTTGCGTGATGCTTTCACATACAAACAGATAAACAAATAAACAAATAAACAGATAAACAGAAAAAAAATCTAAAAATTGCTGAAACGTGTTCTGTTATCAATTTTAAGTATCACCAAATAGTTTTTTTTCGAAAATCTTCTATGTACAGACTTTCGACCCTCTACAACTTTATTATATGTATAGATAGAGACAGTTTAATCCTCTTAGCAACAATCTAACGTTTCCTAAACACTAAATTGACGAAGGCTACTAATAGGATATGAACACAATTTAGCATAATTTCAACTGTATTCTGAGTTAGGATACCAACGTAGGTAATATATATACATGCATACATAAGCACATATATCACGCCTATATCCCATGCGGGGTAGGCAAAGCGTAAACGATTGTAAATACGGCCATTTAATTGACGTCTGACAGAAGATTAAGATGAATTCAGACAATCTCTGTGTATCACTATAGTGACTGATTGACAGCCTATCAACTAAAATTGCGATACACATCAACTCTCAAATCCCTTAGTCGCTTTTTACGACACCCACGGGAAAAGTATGGGGTGATGCTATTCTAAACTGGCATATAAGCATACATAAAAGAAGCCCAAATAGTTATAATACGTAGAGAAAAGATTTTTACTACCAAGTGTTCTTATTATTTCAATTTACCTATCGAAAATTCCTCGACTCAATTATATGCCGGCGACAATGGACTTTTAATTTGCTGAATGGTACTTAGCGAGAGGTCATTAGAGCGATAAAATTAAATGCCTATTTTTATTCCGACTTCCTTAAAATAAAACCAATAAGTCGTTGACGCCTCGGGGGGAAAAGTCAATCAAATGCCAGTTGTAATGAAGAACTTCTAATAGTCCAAGAGCCCACTTAGGCAGTTACCTACGTCTCATTACGTCAAGATGGCAAATGGATGGATAGGTTGCGC